GTGAATTTGAAGAGTTGTGAAGTCGTTAAATCGGCGGTTTAACAAAATCTGCCTACAAGAAAATCTGTCACCAAAGTACACCAGTATCATTAGGTATAGGTGAATGTATCACATAAGATCGTTGAGGTACAATATAATTAAACGCTATAAAAACTCTTGTTTTAATGGGTTTGGAACTTACAATCAACGTAAGTTTTTCTAATGATATTAAATTCGAAAAGCAAATATAAAGATTAAGTCAAGATTAATGGACAATTAGACATATTCGACTAACAAAGAAGTAACCGTGAATAAGGTAGATGTTTTTCTTTGTTCAATAACCGAACGTTAATATTGCCATAAAAGTTTCTATTCAATGTTCTGTTTTAATAGGAGAAAATGAAAGAGGAAGAAAATTCTATCCCGTTGCACCGCTTCTGGCACAAATTTATCATGTTTCTTCGATTAAAACACGTTATCCCTGGTGCAAGATGTCGATAATGGTGAATATGTACATACCGCCCTATCTAGGAATTCCTCCGGCACCAACTAACGTAAGAATACGTTTATAACGATAAAAATCCTCTGTGATTTTAATGGGTCAAGATTGAAGCATATGCTTCTTATTTACTTCAGTAAAAAATGATATATATATCTATATATATGTGTGTGTGATATTCTTTTACAAATATCATTGCGCGGACAATGACAAAATGTCACGTAAAATACTGATATAATCAAATAACATTGTTTGGCTAAGTTAATCACTGGCTCTAAATTTAACTTTCCTTATTAAACTCTGTGTTAATTTAAAGCGTAAAGAACTTTGGTGATATCAATGTATTTATTACTACACTTGCTTGTCAGGTGTGGTCATAATACATTGAAGTAATATATTTAAGTAAAACAAAATAACCAAGATATGATCAAGTAAAAATATATCTCGTATTTCAAAAGGTCTTTGTTAATTTTAGTCTAGGTAGTTTCAGGTCATAGTGTGTAGAGCAAATAAAACCCGTTTCTTCTATGTGATAAAGTATTCAATTAATAACAAACTAGCACAAGAACCCTTATCTGTGTAATATTACAGCATGGTCAAAGAGCCTTAATAACGCATGAAAACTTAGTAGCTTTTATGTTGAACAAAGCAAAAAAATCTTTAATAGTAAGAATTTTACGACTTAACATTCTGAAGAGGTAACAATAACCATATTTTTCCAAAGGATTAGTGATACATCTTATTTTTTATTTATTAAAAAAACTTGTGCATTGAAAAAAATATTTGATGTTCTTAAGTGACATTCCTATGTCTCTGTGGCTTGAAAAAAAAATTATAATGAAAGAATTTCCACGTGTAAGAGTTTTGTGGAGTTTACATTATTATGTATACATTATAATACATATAAAAGTCAACTTGTTTCGGTTTAAAATTTATAGCGCTCTAACAGTTACTACACAGACATTTCCAGAATTTGAACCTGTAAAGAAAATGTCTAATTTCAATTACAGAATTCGCTGTCTTTTAAAAGATTACCAAAGGCTTTCCACGTGTATGTCTATACTTTTACTGGGGGTATTGAATATAGAATGTTGATGGAACTGGAAAGTTTCCGTTCAACTTTGGATGCCCTGATGCTTTGCTACAACCAAGAGCGGTTTTATTTAGGTAACGTATTTGTAAATTTATTAATTATCATTCAGAGATAATATATATATATAAATTAAACATATCTAACTTAAGCTCGTTTTCAGGAAAGGTTTTAAAAGTAAACTGCGAAAAACGTTCTATATAATACTGAGATTTATAATGTGGTATGAGAACGACATTATCATATCAGAATAAAATGTGTTTATTGTTTGTTTTAGTGTAAAGTTACACAATAGGCTCTCTGCGCTCGGTCCACCACAGAGAATCGAATCCCGGATTTTAGCATTGTAAATCCGTAAACTTACCGCTGACCCATTGGGGTCAACACGTGTTTAGTTGTTCGAAGACAAAAATGGCACTGAAAAGTAAATATAAGTATAGTCAATTCAAATTTAGAATAATTAACTTAAAGTAATAAGTAACGAGAAATCAATAAAAAACACCAGAATAAAATATTTATATTTATGTCTACGTAATTACCTTCTAAAAATATTCCATTCAAATAAATTAAAGTATACATTTTCCAACTCTCGTATTTCTTTATTAACTATTTCGTACGTACATTATGTAGTTTTACTACTTATAATTTTTTAAATCTTTTAATTTCTGTAGCTAGCTTATTTACGATGTATCTCTCTTACTTGTTCAACAATACACTTAATAACCTATTCGTTACTCGCTGTTTTTCACGTGAACAAAGCTGAATATTGACAGTGTACTAAAACAATATATTTAATAACCTATTCGTTACTCGCTGTTGTTCACGTGAACAAAGCTGAATATTGACAGTGTACTAAAACAATATATTTAATAATCTATTCGTTACTCGCTGTTTTTCACGTGAACAAAGCTGAATATTGACAGTGTACTAAAACAATATATTTAATAACCTATTCGTTACTCGCTGTTTCTCACATGAACAAAGCTGAATATTGACAGTGTACTAAAACAATATTGGTTTTTATTGGCTGGCTCAACAAAAATAAAGTTTATTGTAAGGAGAAAAAATATATAATGTATACTTTAGATTAAAGTCTATAGATACAGTTTTCGAGTGGATTTTTTTTACTTTATAATAATGTTTCGACCACTCCTGTGATCATCATAATTCTAACTTCCAGGTCATGCCAGGCCTTGCGAAAATAAGTAAAAAATATATAAATACTATAAAATAGCATTTAAAACTCGATTTCTCGTAGGGTAACTTCATAGATCGATCCGGTCCCTTGTTTATATCTTCCTCCTACAGATTTTGCACACTCAAATATCGCATGGAAAAATTTTGAAAATTTGTTCTACAGGGTCAGTGTTTAAGTCACAAATGGAACTTGTGAGGATTCTAAATTTTAATATTTCATTAGCAAGAAATTAAAATATAATTCATTCATAATAATCTAAATGTAAGCAGGCTATACAAATAAAGGATCTACTGTTTACTTTCTTTTTGACAGCTGGCCTACTTCGAATACGCCCCCTAGTGGCATGGCGGTATGTCTGCGAACTTACAATGCTAGAAACCAGATTTCGATACCCATGGTGGGCAGAGTACAGAGAGCCCATCGTGTTGCTTTGTGCTTAACTTCAAACAAGCAATACTTCGGATACTATTATTGTTAAAATTATTAATTTTGTAGTATTCCTTTTTACGAGGTAATATCATTTTCATTTTGTCAACAATGGTATTTTTATGAAACTTCACACACTGTAGGCCCGGCATGGCCAGGTGGTTAAGGCGCTCGACTCGCAATCTGAGGGTCGCGGGTTCGAATCTCTGTTACACCAAACATGCTCGCCCTTTCAGCCGTGGGGCGTTATAATGTGACGGTCAATCCCGTTCGTAAAACAGTAGCCCAAGAGTTGGCGGTGGGTGATGATGACTAGCTGCCTTCCCTCTAGTCTTACACTGCTAAATTAGGCACGGCTAGCGCAGATAGCCCTCGTGTAGCTTTGCGCGAAATTCAAAAAGAAAAAAAGACACTAATTCAACACCAGTAAAGCATGATAAATATCAGCAAAATGTCATTTCGTATAATCGGAGTCATTTCCAATGGCATTTTATCAAAAATCGTTCTAATATTTTAACACACTTTTATCAAAGCGTTAATTTACTCCAAATTTCGAAGAGACTGAAAGAAACATCCATCTTTCACAGAAGTCTGATGATGAACATATCTTTTAAAACTAAAATATTATAAACACCACGGACATAGGTTTACCGTTTTGTGGGAATTAATAACTGACCTGCCTTCTTTTAAGGACTGTACTCAAAAAATGATTATGAAATGAAATCAAAGGGAAGACAAATCATATCGTGGACACTTACTTCTTCGTTATACTGTGGCGTGAGATGTGCATGACACAATATTCTGGATTTTATCGTCCCCTATTTTCCATTTTTCCTTGCCGGACATTACATCTTTTTTTATGGCAATAACCCATATATTTTTTAAATTTTCGATCGTGCCCACCCATTTTTGAACATTGGTACTCAGAACGTAGTAGACGACATAGTTGCAAGCTGATACATGACTTAATACCTCTTATTGTCATAAGTAACTCGATTGAACAATCTACGTACCCGAAATAAAAAGCAGGGACCGGATTTGTTATTAACGCCACTTTCGACGATCTTTCCAGTGGAAAAAACCAAATGCAATTCACCGTTTTGAAGGATAAGTTTATCTTTTTACATCTGAAAAGGGTTAAGTATTTGGAAACTTGTTAAAGCGTACTTTGTCATATACCAGAGCTATTATAAGGTTATTTAGTCTAATATAATGTTCATAACTTAAACTGATCATCATAAAACGTTTGGGGGGGGGGGGGGTCACATAAAGTAATGAGACAATGGGAAGGGTGATTCTTGTGCCTCGTTGTATGCCAAAAACCGTATAAACCTAGCATCAAATATCAAGTGTTGGAACCGATATTATAGGCAGGGAGATGACCCACCAATAACAATCTGGCTGTAAAGTTTTCTAAATGTATTTTGAATATTTTTATTACTGAACGATGTTACGTCCTATCAATATTACCTGATAGTCAAGTATTGCCGTTGTTAGATTAGTTTTAAACCACGCGATGGCGCTGCTACTGGTCCTTGCAGTTGTGTTTGTTTGTTTGGTTTGTTGTAATTAAGCACAAAGCTAACCCACCACGGGTATCAAAACCCAGTTTCCAGCGTTGTAAGGCCACTGACGTACCGCTGTGCCACTGGGGGCGTTGCCCTTGTGCATTGTGTTTTTTCGATGTAGGCCAAATAAACTGAAACATGCATACAATACTCCTTTATAACTACACAAAGAAAATTATTTCATTACTTTAGTGTCCCTTTTCATTATTCAGCAATAATATGACGTTAGATGCTTGTAATTTTGTTTCATGCCCTAGTTTTTGTTTTTACCATTTGTAACATTTATTTCAAAATTTTTTCATGTATGTCAATAATAACACAGGCCTAGGATGCTTTATTGTCTTGATATTTCTACATGTTCTACAATAATTCCTGGCCCGGCATGGCCAGGTGGTTAAGGTA